CCTCAACAAAAAAGGGAAGTATTAATTTCTTAGACACCACAATATTTAAAATGGCCCAACACAAGTTAACAGCGACTTTTTGTTTGGAAAATGACTGACATACACAAAATATCATCAGCCTAAAGATACTTTCCATCAACTGCTGAGGTCACAGCTAATGTTTTGATCATATATGCAAGAAATTGGAAGATAGTAACCAGATGCTTTTTACAGTATCTCTTAGCGTATGCTTAGATTCAAATATATGAAGTAAGAAAGTGTACCATGACATTTTTCCCATATCATAGCCCCTGAACATATGCGGCCTTAAGCAAGAAATTCAACATTAACTTGCAGCAAATTCATTACCTTAGATGATTGGAGTTTTCCTGCTTTCCAGTTAGTTGAAAATTCCTTCATTAACTTGTTTGAAGATTTGCTCAGGATAAATTCATTTTAACTAAGTTCATTAAGCTTTTCAATCAAGTACGAAAGAAGGTGTTGAGCGTAGTGTGGTTGATGTAGTGTACATGATATTGAAAAGACATTTGATAACAAGCAAAAGAGTCAGTTTACCAGCAAATTTGAAACCTATGGAATAAAAGGGGCAGTGGCAGCACGGATACTAAACTGTTTGAGTGCGGAACAGAGAGTAGTGATGAATTAGGTGTTTTTTTGGACTACAGGTTGATAGTGAGCTTTCCCGGGGTAGGAATTAGGACCACTGCTTTTCTTGATATACGTTAAAGACTTAGGCATGGATGTTCAGGCCACAATTTTAACTTCTGCTAAAGGCACAAAACTTAGAAAGATTGTGAAATAAGAAGAGGATTGTGAGGTACACGAAGAGGACATTGAAAGACAAATGGATGCGAGCAGAAATTTAATACAAAGAAATGTTCAGTTATTCACTTTAGCAGGGAAAAAAAAGATAAGATAAAACAAAATAGAAGATAATATTTTAAAGAGGGGGCAGGAACAACACAGCTCATTATATATGGTAGTACAGGTTCAGAATGCAGTTAATAATGTATACAAGATCTTGGGCTTTATTAACAGAGATGTAGAAAATGGACCTTTGTAGAGTGCTGGTTCAGCCACATCTGGTGTGACTTGTGAAATTTCAGGGTTCACAGTTAAGGATGTTAAGGCATGGGAGACAGTGCAAAAAAGACATATACAACTGGTTCTGGGGATGGGACACTTCAATTTAGAGGAAAAAATGGCAGAGCTGGCTCAGTTTTCTTTCGAGAATAGAAGAATAAGAGGAGATTTAATAGTGGTATTCAAAAATCACAGGAAGCCCAGGCAGAGTTGACAGGGATTTTTTTTTTTAAAACAGAGTCAATGTTTAGGATCTAGAGTGCACTACCCGAGACAACGTGTTCAAAGTAAATTAAAGTGTGACTTTCAAAAGGGAATTGGATAATTATTCAGAGAAAGACCATTCATAGAATCCCTACGGTGTAGAAGCAGACCATTCAGCCCATCAAGGCTACACTGACCCTCTGAACAGCAGTTCACTGAGACCCACAGCCCCCACATCCCCACCCTATCCCTGTAACTCTGCATTTCCCTCTGGCCAACCAACCTAACCTAACATCTTTGGACAGGCCAAGGGGAAAGAGCAGATGAGTAAGGACAGCTGATTAGCTCTGATAGACAATAGAAAAACAGAAGACTAAACTGCCTCCTTCTGAACTAACCATTCTATGATCCTATGAAATTAGTGCATTCTTGTCCTCTATGCCACTGATAACAGTTTCTCCTTATTTGCTCTATTCTGAGTTTGATGGCTTCAGTTCCTTGTTCCCTTTAAGGGCTTTTGTTCCAACCAGAACAACAACAATCTTTCTAGTCACTAATGTCCTTTGGGAAGAAAATCTGTTGTCCTTACCCTGGTCTAGTCAATATGATGCTCTAGAACCATAGCAAAATGTTTGACTCTTAACTTACCTGTGAAATGGCCTAGGTAGTGGAAAAAGGCAATGTTAATACCAGCCATGTCGACCCTGCAAAGTCCACTCACGGACACCTGAGGCCTTATGCCAAAATTAGGAGAGCTATCCCACAGGCAGGTAGAGCAACAAGTAACTCATCATTATATAATGTTCCAGACACTACTGACACCATCCTGGGTATGTCCTGTCCCACCAGAGGACACACTCATCAGAAATGGTGGCACAGTCACATTCAGCCAACCGGAAGTTGCTCTGAGGACTCCAAATCCCTACAGTATTCAATAAAGACCCAGGAGAATCCTGAAAGTGCTCAACGTTGAGTTCATATCCCAGGAAGTCTCACGGTGTCAGGTTGAACATGGGCAAGAAAACCTGCTGCTGATTACTGCCGACCAACATCACCACCCACCCCTTCAAACCACCAGTAAATGAACCAATACTCCTCTATGTTGAATGCCAACTGGAAGACACACTGAGGGTGGAAAGGGCACAGAATGTATTATTGGTGGGATCTTCAAAGTCCATTACCAGGAGTGGCTTGATTGAACAAGTTGGCTGAATCCTAAGCAACGTAGCTGCTAGTCTGCAGTATATGGTGAAGTAACCAATAAAAGATAATACCTTACTTGACTTCATTCTCACCGATTTACCGGTCACAGGTACACCTGTCCATGATATTACTGGGAGGAATGACCACTGTACAGTTCTTGTGGAGACAATGTTTTGCCTTCACATTAATGATATCCTCCATTGTGGCACTAACATGGACAGATTCTGAACAGATACAGCAACTCAAAATTTGGCAAACATGATGCACAATAATGGTCCAAAATAATGTGGACCATTATTAACAGCAGGTTTGTATTCAACTTCAATCTGCCACATTGAGGGCTGGCATATTCCCAACTCCAGAATGGCTATCAAGCCAAGGATGCTAACCTTGGTTCAATGAAGTGCGTAGGAGGACTAGCAGGTGCAACAACAGACATACCTAAAGTGAGGTTTCAACCTGGTCAGGTTACAACACATAACTACTTGCATGCCAAACAGGAAAACAAGATGCAACAGACAGGAATGAACAATCCCACAATCACAGATCAGATCAAAGATCTGTAGTCCTGTCACATCTCGTCATGAATGGAGGTGGACAATTAAACAGTTAATATGAGGCAGCTCCAAAAATATCCACATTCCTAATAATGGCACAGCCAAGCAGTTCAGTAGAAAAGTCAAGGCTGAAGGATTTGCATCAAATGTTCAGCCAGAAATGCTGAGCAGGTGATGCAGTTTGGCCTCCTTTTACAGTTCCTATTATCATAGACGCCAGTCTTCAACTGATTCCGTTCGCTACAAGTGATATAAAGAGAGAGATGGAGGCTCTGGATTATGTCAAATGGCGAGGTCCTGACAACATTCTGGCAATATAACTGAAGATTTGTGCCAGACCTAGCCTTTCCCCCATAACAAAGCCATTCTAGTACAATTGAAATGCTTGACTGATGTTGACCAAATGTCCATTCCACAAAAAGGAGAACACATCTTGCTATTATTATACTTCTAACCATCAGCAAAGTAACAGGATAGGTCATTGACAGTGCTATCAAGTGGCTTTTGTTCAGCAATAGCCTATTAACGGATATGGAGCTTTGGTTCCACATTTGATTTGGCTCTTGATCTAATTGCAGCCTTGGCCCAACCATGGACGAAATAACTGAACTCTAGAGCTGAGGAGAGACTGACTGTCCTTGACATCAAGGCAGCATTTTGTGTCATAGAAGCAGTGACCACTGCAAACAAGAGAGAATCAACTATCTCCCATTAACATCCAATAGCATTACCATCACTTGTGTTGTCTGGGGGCAAACCTTGACATGCGGGGAGAGGACTGAATTATTTTTCAATAATTAATCATTGTGAAAGTGAAGACTTAAATGTTAAATTATGCTTCATTGTTAAAATGATTTCTGCAGGGAGGAAAGTCACTTGAACAGGTCTATTGATTAATGTGTGGTTTCACTGCTATTTTGTAGTTCAAGTGAATGTAAACCTAGGCTAACTCATATGGAGAATGTTTTTGAGGTAGAAGGCTTTTACTGAAAAACACAGCTAAGTTTTAAATGGGTTTGGTTTTCTAACAGTCTATTGCTATAACATAATTACAGTTGCATGTGTGCACCCACATTTATGAGACACATATATGCACATATTCTTGGAATTAAGTTCTCTGCTTTGTAGTTGTTTTGATCTTTTCAGATACATATTTTGGAATTATAATTAATATTGCTTCTAAGGTGTTGGAGTAGATCTGATCTGTAGCTCAGGTTGTGGGTGTTGAGGTTAGTTGGCTCGCCGAGCTGGTTTGTTGTTCAGCAGACGTTTCGTTACCGTGCTTGGTAACATCCTCAGTGCAGCCTCTGATGAAGCGTCGGTGGGTTTTCCCGCCTGGTTTTTAAACTCTGGGGTCCGTTGCGATGGATTGCCTCACTTCCGGGTTTCCTCCGTAATGGAATGTATATGGGGTTGAGAGCACAGTAACGAAACGTCTGCGGAACAACAAACCAGATCGGCGAGCCAACCAACCTCAACACCCACACTCGACCCTATATACATTCCACTACGGAAGAAACCCGGAAGTGAGGCAATCCATCGCAACGGACCCCAGAGTTTAAAAACCAGGCAGGAAAACACACCGACGCTTCATCAGAGGCTGCACTGAGGATGTTACCAAGCACGGTAACGAAACGTCTGCGGAACAACAAACCAGCTCGGCGAGCCAACTAATATTGTTTTTATATTACTTTTTTTTTTATTGCTAACGTTACCTTTTAAGTCTGGGAGGTTTGAAATTAGTCTGTTCACTTCTCTGAGACACAAAAATCATTGAGAAAATAACCACAAACTGCTCAAGCACTTCTTACTGGTCTGGCCAGAACTAGCATTTGTAACAGTGCGCCAACTTGCTCAATCAGCAGCTGAATGTGACAGTCAGGAGCAATGTGGAAATATGTAGCTAGCTACCGAAACACAAATATCGACTTTTCAAACAATGGTAAGGCTTACCTTGCAGAGGTAGCTGATCTTGAAGCCAAAGGTTTGTGCATTTCTGGAACCTGAATTCATGTAGTTACCCACAAGAAGGACCAACTCCAAAATTTTACTGAAGTTTTCACTCTTCTTCACCTCCTCACAGGCAATTGTTACATTCATTATGTCAGGTTTGATGTTGTTCAAATACTCTTCAAACTGAAGCTTGAAGAGAATATTGTTCAATCGTGGTCGTAACAGCTTTACAGTGCTCATCTGCAAAATTAAAAAGGTTCTAAATTGATGCTTGTTTCAAAATTTTTGCAAGAAGAATTTCAGGAACAAATCACTGCATGTCATACAAGATGATTTATTTCACTCATGTTCAATAAGCAATCACCTGTATAAAAGTAAGTGATGAATAACATGATTCAAAAAGGGATACCTGAAGGAAGACAACAAAGTAGCCTTGATATTTTCACACATGGAAGGAAAATGGAAAAAAAAAGTGTCAGGATTAGGAACATCAATCGATTGTTCCAACAAAAGATCTGGACAATTTCCAGGCTTGGGTTGACAAACGCCAAGCTATCACCATCACCAGTAAGAAACAATCTAACCACAGCCTCTTTACATTCAATGGTGTTACCATCACTGAATCGCCCACTATCAACATCCTGGGAGTTATCATTGATCAGAGCTCAACTGGATTCACCACACCAACGAAGTGGCTACAACAGCAGGTCAGAGGCTTGGAATAGTGCAGCAAGTAATTCACTTCCTGACTCTTGAAAGTCTGTCCACCATCTACAAGGCACAAGTCAGAAGTGTGATGGAATACTCTCCACTTGCCTGGATGAGTGCAGCCCCAACAACACTCAAGAAGCTTGACACCATCCAAGAAGAAGCAGCCCACTTGATTAGCACTGCATCCACAAGCATCCACTACCTCCACCACCAACATGCAGCAGCAGTGTGTATTACCTACAAGATGCACTGCAGAAAGTCACCAAAGATCCTCAGACAGCACCTTCCAAATCCATAACCACTTCCACCTAGAAGGACAAGGGCAGCAGATATGTGGGAACACCACCACCTTCAAGTTTCCCTCCAAGCCATTCACCATCCTAACCTGGAAGTATATCACCATTCCTTCATTGTCTCTGGGTCCAAATCCTGGAAGTCCCTCCTTAATGGTATTGTGGGGCAACTCATAACAGGTGGACTGCAGCAGTTCAAGAAGGCAGTTCACCACCACCTTCTCAAGGGCAACTAGGGACAGGCAATAACACCCACGTCCCACAAAATGAATTTTTAAAAAATTGGCTGGAGAACAAGTCAGTGTTGGATTAAATACATCTGTAATTCCCTATATTATGAAATTGCCAACTAGTATTTAACACCTCAGGTGAGGCATGGATAACAGTAACCTTGGTGAGATAAAAGATTCCTGCTGCCACCTATGGGCTAAGAGCTCAGAATAAATTAGCATCTTTCAAGTGGAAAGACCAAAAACAGGAAAAGACAGCTGGAATGAAGAAATAATCTTTTGAATATCATCAGGTTAAAGTTGTTTTTGCAGATAATCACAATTGTCTTGAGATTTTTTAAAAAAAAATACAATTCAGTAAATGTGTGTTAAGTTGTGAACTTTCAAATTCATATTTATGCATTCATAAAGACTACCTATTTGCACCTCCAAAACATCACCCTGCTGGCATGCCAGCTTATCTACTGCAAAACTCGCATTCATGTATTGTTATTACTTGACTTGACTATCCCAATGTAGTCTTGGCTGGACTCTCACATTCTACTGTCTGTGAACATGAGGTCATCCAAAACTGTGCTGTCAATGGTTCAACTCACACCAAGTCCTGTTCCCTGATTACTTGATTACTTCAGCGTGTGAGCACGCTGACCAACACTGACACCTGATCAAGTAATATCTTAACTTTAAATTTTCATTCTTCTCTTCAAATTTCACCAAGATCTTGCCTCTGTGTAACCTCCTTTAGCCTCACACTATTCTGCGATATCAAAGCTTGTCTTGTCATTGTCTCTTATGCATTCTTGACTTTAAGTATTCCACTTATCAGTAGGCACCCCTTCAGTCACCAAGATCTTAAATTCCCTCCCCACATATCACCATCTCCTTACCTTGATTTCTTTCTGTAAGGCACTATGTAAAACCTACTTTTTGATTAAGCTTTTGGACATTCATCATAATACTTTGCATGATTCGATGTCAGACTTTACTTAGTAATGCTTCTGTGAACCAGGTGCTTTATTATCAAGTTTTGTAGATGATAGTGATAGATGTCAATAGAACATTTATATTTATATTTATAATTATAGAAAATGTATATGACAGATAACATTAAGTGCAGAGGTATGTTAAGTGATACATTTTGGAGGAAGAATGAGAATATAAAAAAAAATCTACAGTTTGAAAAAGGAATGGTAACGTTTGGCAATCTGGGTTATAGGTCACAAATTCTTGAAGGGGGCAAATAAAATGGATAAGAAGTCGTTTCAGATCCTGGACTTTAAGAATATGTAAGTGTGCAAAACTAAAGAACTACAGCAAGTTTTTGCCATTTTATCCAATGGTTCCCATAGTATGATTTTTTTTTTTAAACAGCAGATGGTCAAAAAGCTATTGACTGCTCTGAAAGGAACAGTTTTCCTGGAAAGTGGTCAATTTGTCTGTATGCAGTCACC